AGGAGATTGGGGGATAGAACCATTGGATGGGGATTGGGATAGAAATGGGGGGCAGGGAGATGGGGGGAAAGGGAGGAAATTGGGGATAGAACCATTGGATGGGGATTGGGATAGAAATGGTGGAAAAGAGATGGGGGGGGGTGAAGGGAAGAGTTTGGGGGATAGAACCAGAGCAGACACGATGGGCTGAGGGGCCTGATTCTGCGCCATAACAATTCTGAGATTCCGAAGATCTTCAATGGAGAGATATTTGACTGGGTGCATTCGCACTGCCCAGAAACAGAGAACAGAAGGTACAGAATGAGACCATTTGGCCCCTCGAGCCTGCTCCACCATTGGATCAGGGCTGATCAAATGTGGCGGGGGATGGTTCAGCTGAGACTGGCATTGGGCGGGCATTTGAACAAGAAACGCTGGGCAGGGAGACGATGGGTGGGGGGGGGCGGTGTGGTGGAAAGGGCAGCAGGTGGGGGCAGTGTGGTGGGGAAGGATGGGGCCGAGTGGCCTCATTCTGGCCGGGTGGTTGGGACAGAGGCACAGCAAGAGTCCACGCGCAGCCCCCAAACCCCACAAACCGTGCGTACATTCGCAGTTCACCCAGACATCTTCCTTGTGATGGCAGTCATGTTCGCCCCAGTAGGCAGAACGGCAGGCCCAGATCACTGGTTCCTCACCGCGGCACCGCACCTCGTCCAGCCAGATGGGGCTTTCCTCGCTGCCCTTGGGGTGGGTACCCTCCTCCCCCGAGTAGTTGGTGAGCAGGCCGCACTTCAGGTGCACGCACACCACCTCGGCACTGGCCTTACTCCATTCATCGTCGCAAACTGTGCCCCACGTCCCATTGAAAAGAATCTCCAGGCGCCCGCTACAGCGATGAGGACCATCTGTCAAGCGTATCCCCTCAGGGTCTGTAAAACACCGACAGCACGGGGTTAGATACAGAGTAAAGCTCCCTCTATACTCTCCCGCCCATCAAACACTCCCAGGACAGGGACAGCATGGGGTTAGATACAGAGTAAGGCTCCCTGTACACTGTCTCCATCAAACACTCCCAGGACAGGGACAGCATGGGGTTAGATACAGAGTAAAGCTCCCTGTACACTGTCTCCATCAAACACTCCCAGGGACAGCACGGGGTTAGATACAGAGTAAAGCTCTCTCTACACTGTCCCCCCATCAAACACTCCCAGGGACAGGGACAGCACGGGGTTAGATACAGAGTAAAGCTCCCTCTACACTGTCCCCACATCAAACAGTCCCAGGGACAGGGACAGCACGGGGTTAGATACAGAGTAAAGCTCTCTCTACACTGTCCCCCCCATCAAACACTCCCAGGGACAGGGACAGCACGGGGTTAGAGACAGAGTAAAGCTTCCTCTACACCGTACCCCTGCCTCAAACAATCCCAGGGACAGGGACAGCACGGGGTTAGATATGGAGTAGAGCTCCCCCGGTGGTGTTTCTGTGACAGTGCAGGGTTCTCGTTCCGAGGGGAGGGTTCTCGAAGGGACGGTGTTACCTTGACAGTAATCATCTCCTTCCTTCCAGTAGTAGTGACCTGTACATTTGTTCAGCTTGCTCTGCAGAGCAGTCACATCTTCCTCTGAAAGGGAGAACGCATTGAGACTGATTAATACCTTCTCGACCGAGCCAGCACCTGAGGAGGCCATTTGGCCCCTCCAACCTGTACTGGCACTGTTGAACCCTCTCTCCTACTCGTCCCTCCCTCTCTCTTCCCTATATCCGTTCCCCCCCACCCCCCAAAACAGTGCTGCAATTCTGTTGCCCCTTTGCCACCATCCCACCCTTCCTTTTGCAGCTCCCTTAAAGCTGGCAATTTATAACAACTTGCTGTGTTAGTAAACAAATTCTCTCCCCCTCCTCTGGTCAATTTCCCAATTCTCCTCAATCCGCGTCCCTCTGGTGACGGACCCCCCTTTGCCCCCTGGAAATAGCATCTCTCCCCACACCACCCCCTACCCTGCCACCCCCTCCCAAAACCGCACAGCCTGGGGATTTCGAACGGCCTGACAAATCATCCCCTTATCCTCCCCTGCTCCATGGGGCACGGTCCCAGCTCCTCATGGTCTACCCCCCCTACAACAACCCCTCCCCACCCCCCCCTCCATGTGGACTGTCACTCCCTGCTCCCAGTCCAAAGGTGAGAGACAGGCTGGGAGAGAAAGAGATGGGGAGAGAAGGAGAGAGAGAGTGGGAAAAAAGGAGAGAGAGAGTGGGAAAAAGGAGCGAGAGACTGGGAGAGAAGGAGAGAGAGAAGAGTGAGAGAGGGAGAGAAGGAGGGAGAGAGAGTCTGGGAGAGAAGGAGAGAGAAAGAGAGACAGGGAGAGAAAGAGAGATAGAGAGATAGACTGGGAGAAAAGGAGAGGGAGAGTGGGAGAAAAGGAGAGAAAGAGAGGGAGAGACTGGGAGAGGAGAGAGAGCGAGAGATGGGGTGTGAGAGAGAGAACATCAGAAAGAGCGAAAATGAGGGTGAGGGAGAGATATAGGGACCAGGAGAGAGGCAGTTTCAGAGACAGCGAGGGAGGGAAATGGGAGAGCGAGAGGAATAGACCTGCAAGATTGAGTCAGAAGGAGACAGTGAGAAAGAGAGAGAGATGAAGATCTCAGAGAGAGACTGAGAGAGATGACAGAAAATGAGAGCTGTGAAAGAATCTGAGAGATAGTGAGAGAGGGAGAGTTAGGGAGTGGGGAAAGAGAGAGGGGGAAGAGGGAGGGAGACAGAGAGAGTGACAAGGAATGGGGAAAGACAGAGAGAGAGAGAGAGACAGGGACTGGGTGAGTGGAGAGGGGTAGAGAGAGTGACAGCGGATGGGGAGAGGGAGAGAGAGGGGTAGAGAGAATGACAGGGAGTGGGGAGAGGGAGCACGTGGGAGTGAGAGAGAGAGGGAGAGAGAGTGTGGGGGAGTGAGAGAGAGAGAGGGAGAGAGAGCGTGGGATTGAGTGAGAGGGAGTGAGTGAGAGGGAGAGCTGAGGGTGAGGTTGCAATCTGCTGTGGGGCTCTCTGAAACAGACCTGAACAGATGACCCCTGCGTTCTCCTTGTAAGTGCAGTCGTGCTGATCCCAGCCTTGGTGAACACAGTCCCACAAGAAGCTTTCTGTACCGGTGCAGTTCACATCGTCCAGTTTGACGGGGCCTTTCCTGAGGCCAAACGCAGAGGAGTTGACAACGACGGCTGCATGCCCACACTCCAGCTGTTTGCAGACTACGTCCGCCTCTGCCTTACCCCAGTGGTCATCACAAACTGATCCCCAGGTATCGCCGTAATTAACCTCCACTGTCCCTGAGCAATTGCTCAATCCCATGGTCAGCCTGATGCGACCTGTCACATCGAGGGGAGAGAGAAGAGGTTTGCATTTAGTTAGCATCCCTCACATCCCCTTGACATCCCAGAGAGTAATCCCAACAAACGCATCCCAGTACATTCTACCCCGCGTCCACTGTCCGACCACTCCATCAATATCACTCCTGTTCCTCAAGGAATGCCATTGGGAGCAGACTGGGACTGGGATCATGCTTGGTCTGCTTATTTCTTCAAAGATCTGGTGATGCTGGCTGGGCCCAGCATTTATTGCCCTGTCCCTAGTTGCCCCCCTTGAGAAGGTGGGGGTGAGCTGCCTTCTTGAACCGCTGCAGTCCATGTGCTGTAGGGTTGACCCACAATGCCCCTTAGGGAGGGAATTCCCAGATTCTGACCCAGTGACACTGAAGGAACGGGGATATATTTCCCAAGTCAGGATGGGGAGGGGTTCGGAGGGGAACTTGCAGGGGGTGGGGTTCCCATGTACCTGCTGCACCTTGTCCTTCCAGATGGAAGTGGCCGTGGGTTTGGAAGGTGCTGCCTGAGGGGCCTTGGTGAGTTTCTGCAGCGCATCTTGTAGATGGTACACACTGCTGCGACTGAGCGTCGGTGGTGGAGGGAGTGGGATGTTTGTGGATGTGGTGCCAATTGAGCGGGGGCTGCTTTGTCCTGGATGGTGTCGAGCTTCTCGAGTGTTGTTGGAGCTGCCCCCTTCCAGGGCAAGTGGGGAGTATTCCATCACACTCCTTAGAGCTTAGATCTGAGGTGTTAGTTAGGGGATCGCTTAGCTGTTTGCCGTGCAAGTAGTCCTGTTTGGTGGCTTCACCAGGTTGATACCTCATCTTCAGGTATGCCTGGTGCCACTCCTGGCATGCCCTCCTGCACTCTCCATTGAACCAGGGTTGAGCCCCTGGTTTGATGGTAATGGTTGAGTGGGGGATATGCCGGGCCATGAGGTTACAGATTGAGCTGGGGTACAATCCTCCTGCTGTTGATGGCCCACAGCGCCTCATGGACGCCCAGTCTTGAGTTGCTAGATCGGTGCGAAGTCTGTCCCATTTAGCACGGTGATAACGCCACACAACACGATGGAAGTTATTCTCAATGTGAAGGTGGGACTTCGTCTCCATAAGGACTGTGCGATGGTCACTCTTAGCGATACTGTCATGGACAGATACATCTGCAGCTGGCAGATTGATGAGGATGAGGTCAAGTATGTTTTTCCCTCTTGTTGGTTCCCTCACCACCTGCTGCAGACCCAGTCTAGCAGCTACGTCCTTTAGGACCTGACCAGCTCGATCAGTATTACTGCTGCCGAGCCATTCTTGGTGGTGGGCATTGAAATCCTGCACCCAGAGTACATTTTGTGCCCTTGCCATCGTCAGTGCTTCCTCCAAGTGTTGTTCAACATTGAGGAGAGACTGATTTATCAGCTGAGGGAGGATGGTATGGGGTAATCAGCAGGAGGTTTCCTTGCCCATGTTTAACCTGAAGCCATGAGACTTCATGAGGTCTAGAGTCAATGCTCCCAGAGTAACTCCCTCCCGACTGTATCCCACCGTGCCATCCCCTCCGCTGGGTCTGTCCTGCCGGTGGGACAGGACATATCCAAGGACAGTGATGGTGGTATCTGGGACATTGTCTGTAAGGTATGATTCTGTGAGTATGACTATATCAAGCTGTTGCTTGACTAGTCTGTGAGACAGCTCTCCCGATGTTGGCCCTAACCCCCAGATGTCAGTGAGGAGGATACCGCAGGGTTGACAGGGCTGTTCCTGTTCCTGTCTTTCCCGGTGCCTGGGGTCGATGCCAGGGTGACCATTTTCTTTGTTGAGACTTTGCAGCGATTGGTAAAACTGCATGGCATCCTGCGCCATTTCTGAGGGCAGCTGACAGTCAGCCACATTGCGGTGGGCCTGGAGTCACGTGTAGGCCAGACCGGGTGAGGACGGAAGATTTCCTTCCCTGGGGGACATTAGTGAGTTAGTCACAGGCTGAGTGAGCCCCGAGATGTAACTCTGGTAAAAACAGTGTCGACAGGGAAAATTAACTTGAATGACACTTGACCGTAGTTGAAATGACAGTACAAAGAAATAGGAGCAGGAGAAAGCCATTTGGCCCATCGAGCCCACTGTGCCAGTCAATAAGATCATGGCTGATCTTTCTGTGATCTCAGGTCCACTTACGCCCCTCCAACTCACCTTAACCCTTAATACCTTTACTGGTCAAAAATCTATGTTTGCCTTAAAAACATTCAATGACGTAGCCTCAACTGCTTCACTGAGCAGGGAATTCCACAGATCCACAACCCTTTGGGTGAAGACATTCCTCCTCAACTCAGTCCTAAACCTGCTCCCCCTTATTTTGAGGCTATCCCCCCTCGTTCTAGTTTCACTCACCAGTGAAACAACCTCCCTGCTTCTACCTTATCCATTCCCTTCGTAATTTTATATGTTTCCATAAGATCCCTCTTCCAGTGAGTATAGTTCCAGGCTACTCAATCTCTCCTCATAAGGCAACCCTCTCAACTCTGGAATTGACCTGGTGCACCCCCTCCACATTGGCCGTCATTGCAAGAGCTCAGAGTTGAGGAACAAGGTTGTCTTACTGCAGTGAGATGAGGTGGGTGGGGGTCTCAGTGAGACCAGGGCTGGAGCACTGTGTGCAGTTGGGGTCTGCCTCCCTAACGGAGGGACCTCCTCACCACTGAGGGAGTGCAGTGGACGGTCCCCTCGGCTGGTAACGGAGAGATTGGGGCCTGTATTCACTGGGGCTCAGATGGATGTTAGGGTTGGCCGGGGTGGGGGACTGTTGGTGGAGCATTCTGATTGATATGCACGGGCTGTACGGACTCAATAGGGAGGTGTGGGCCTCAGGATATTATTGCTGGGCTGCTTAACCCAGATAGCGTTCTTGGGGATAGTAAGAACAGAAGATGCTGGAGTCAGAGATAACACAGTGTGGAGCTGGAGGAACACAGCAGGCCCAGGCAGCATCAGAAGAGCAGGAGAGCTGACCTTTTGGGTCAGGACCCTTCTTCAGAAACCTGAAATGTCAACTTTCCCACTCTTCTGATGCTGCCTGGCCTGTTAACTTCTTGGGATCTGGGATCAAATCCTGCCACCACAGATAATGGAATTTGAATTCAATAAAACAAAATCTGGAATTAAGGGTCTGATGATGACCGTGGATCGATTGATTTATTTATTGTACCGAAGGACAGTGAAAAGCTTTGTTTATGAGCGGCACAGGCAGATCATAGTAAGCAAAGGATGTACAGATCAAAAAGACTTAGACAGAGACATACAGGTTATATTGCACAGGGCATGTGCTATTGAGAGCAACATTAGCAAGATCAGCGTTATTTGAGGCTAGAGAGTCCATTCATCAGTCTGATAATGGCCGGGAAGAAGCTGTTCCTCAACCTGTTCGCGCATGTGTTCAGGCTTCTGTATCTTCTGCCTGATGGAAGAGGCTGTAGGAGATCATTACTGGGGTGCAATGGGTCGTTGATGATGTTGGCAGTGTTTAGGGGAGGAAACTGCCATCCTTACCTGGTCTGGCCTACACGTGACTCCAGGCCCACAGCAATGTGGTTGACTCTGAACTGCCCTCTGGGTAATTAGGGACGAATGAATAAATATAGGGAGTATGTGTTCCCCTGGGATGGGGGGAGGTGGGGGGAGTCTCGAAACAGGGGGTAACAGCATCAGGATCCAGGGTAGGTCTGAGGTGAGGGAAGGATTTCTTCCCTCAAAGTGGGGGGGGGGGGGGGGGGGGGGGGAAACGAGCCTGTGGAAGTGTCATCCCACACAACACCGTGGATCCCAGCTCATCGACCGAAGAAAGACCGGGATAATGTTTCAGATTTTTGAGGCATTGTGTAGAAAAGAATGGTGTTGAAATGGGGCAATCAGGCACGACCATATTGAATGGGAGATGGGCTGAACAGCCTCTTCCTGCTCCTGGATTCTACGTTTCTACCACTGCGCTGTAGAAAATTGTCGCCTTTCAGTCACCATCTCTTTACCTGCCCATGGCTATCTTTCCAGTCACTATGAAAGAGTCCGGTCTTGCTCTGCAGTAAGTCTTGTCCAAACCGAAACAGCTTATTAAGTTATTGAAATAATTAAGCTTTTAATGATCAAATTTACACCCAAAAGCTAATCTTATTGGCATCATGGAATCGGAAATTCAATCACACAAATAAGGGAACTGTGCTAAATTCCCAATATGTGGTGAATTATGGGACTTCGTTGTAAATTGGGATTTCTTTCTGTTCCATGAAGGACTGACTTGCTCTGCTTGAAAGGGTTAGAAAGTAATTTTGGGACGGTGAGTTTCATTTCATATTGTACAAGACATCCTGAGATTTCAATGCAATGGGCCAGCGAGTCATCTAGGGAGATCGCTGTGAAGGCGTCGCTGATTCAGAGAGAGAGAGAGAGGCAAGATGCGGGTATCGTTTAAAGACCAGAGGTGTGTAAAAGCACTTGTTGAGCAGGTCTCCAAGCAGTCATGGGGGAAGAAGTCTGGAGTTGCTTAGAAGGAAGCAGACTGTTGTGGTGGCATCACAGAGCAAGCCATGCAATGTGACTCGAGCTGAAGGAACCGATGTTAAGGAACAATAGTGAGCTGAGTGAACAGTTCATTTCGAAGATCGTGGCCAGTGATGTTAATTGGAGACAATAGCATTAAGTGAACCACAGAAATTTGCAGAAAGGGAGCAGATTGCATCTGTGCCAATCAAACAAGAAGCGTAGAGATAGGTTTCACTGAGGTTTGATGTGCCCTCAAGGGTGAAAGACAACGCATCTTTCTTTCTGATGTTTGTGACGTGTTAGTTCTTGTCTAGGGCCATCTAAGTTGTGTTTCTTTTTTGTATTTAGTACAATGAAATTTGTGTGTTTGTAAACAATACACCAGCAGCCTCACAATTCATCTTGATCTACTCCCAGTGGGTGAGGGATCCACATTCCCCCCACTCAATGTTCTCAGGGTCAGGCTAAGGATCTCGGTTGGATCCTGGTCAGCCCGCTCTCTCCAAACTGTCGGACAGAGCCTCCATCTTCCGAACCGTCACTGTGCTCACTCTAAAATGAGAAAATCCTTGAGGAATTTGGACCAGTTACCCAAATGTGCACCACCTCACAACCTCCCACCCATCATTTTGTGACAGTTAGTAACTGAGAAATGGCCACCAAATGAAGCTCTTCCTAAGAACCCATTCATTCTGGGTCATATCAAAGGGAACCAGGCTGCCCTGGGAGTATTGCAGTGTTAACAGGGAGAGCTGTGCTGAATGCTCAGAGTGAGGACACAGGGTCAGAGGTGAATATTAGGGGCTGTGTACTTACGCGCAACCTCTATCCTGCGACCCTTTGACCAGTTGGCACCGACTGTGTTCCCCGCCTGGCAGGAGTACACACCCTCCTGTTTGTGAGTGATTCCGTCCAAGGTCAGGTCTCTCTCGGATGATTCCGGAGCCACAGTCTCCTCTCCCCGTTTCCACTTGTACCAGCTGGGTGGGGGGTTACTGTCGCTGGTACAGCTCAGGGTGATGTTGTCACCTTCGTATATCGTACTGTCTGAAGGAGAGATCGACACCTTCAAGTTCCGAGGGCCATCTGAGAGAAGGGACAAGACCCTCAGTGAGAGACGGTTGCATTTCAGACTGGAGGCCTGTGACCAGCCACAGGAATCGGTCCTGCGTCCGCTGCTTTTCTTCATTTATATAAATGTTTTGAAAGTGAACATAGGAGGGGTGGTTAGTAACTTTGAAGATATCACCAAAACTGGAGGTGTAGTGGACAGTGAAGCATTCCATATTTTTCTGAATATGAAAGGTTTAGAGGGATATGGGCCAAATGCTGGCAGATGGAACTAAGATTAATTTAGGATATCTGGGTCGGCATGGACAGGTTGGACCGAAGGGTCTGTTTCCGTGCTGTATGACTCTATGACAGTCACTCAGTGAGACCAGCTGAGGGGGGATCCTGCAGAAAATTCAATCACAGATCCTACAGGACGGATAGCTGGAGAAATGCTCAGTTAGAGAGTTTGTCTATTACGGAGGAGAAAGGGAGAGGGAGGACACAGAGGTTGGGGGATAGAATTCTAGAGAACACGGATGGGAATTGGGAAAAGGTTAAAATGCTGGAACTGGAGGAGGTGACAGAGGTAGGGAGGGGGTGTAGGGCTGGAGGAGGTTACAGAGATAGGGAGGGGGTGTAGGGGATGGGGGAGGTTACAGAGATTGGGAGGGGGTGTAGGGGCTGGAGGAGGTTACACAGATAGGGAGGGGGTGTAGGGGATGGGGGAGGTTACAGAGATTGGGAGGGAGTGTAGGGGCTGGAGGAGGTTACAGAGATAGGGAAGGGGTGTAGGGGCTGGTGGAGGTTATACAGATAGGGAGGGGGTGTAGGGGATGGAGGAGGTTACAGAGATTGGGAGGAGGTGTAGGGGATGGAGGAGGTTACAGAGATTGGGAGGAGGCGTAGGGGCTGGAGGAGGTTACAGAGATTGGGAGGGGGTGTAGGGCTG